CCCCACCCACATACGCACACACACACGCATGGTCACTATTCCCAACCTGAACATAGAGCTGTTGCAGAGTTCCTTCCGTAGCATTTATGGCCAGGCCATCTTGAGTAAGGGTAAATGATGCATGTAGCATTTACTTCCTAGAATCCATCTGCCCTTAGCTCAGACATGTAGACAGGAAGGTGTGCTTAGCTGAGAAAACCCCTCCTCCCCTCCTGAAGACTCCTGGGATGTATGACATAATTTGCATAGGCCTGGAAACCAGAAAGGAACTGTAAAAAAGTTTAAAACAAATAAATATAACATACCTTCCTATCTATTTACTAATGCTAGCAACATAAGGATTAAAAATTTGTCAGTGTCGCTTGAGAGAGTGAGGTTCCACGTTAAGGGGGTGGAGCATGACTAGGTTCATCGATTGCCACTGTAGTTTGTTGTTTAAGAATTTCCATCATTGCCCATGTGTTGCCTGCAGGGGTGGACTGACAACTCATGGGGCCCTGAGCAATAGAGGATCATGGGGCCCCTGTGTCCTTGCCCACACTCAAAAAAGCCTATAAAAAAGGTACCAGGGGAATTTCATGGGGCTCCCTACTGACCCTGGGGCCTCTGGCAGTGCCCGAGTGCTCGAATGGTCAGTCCGCCCCTGCTTGCCTGTGAATTGCCACCACTGCCTTGTATTGTCAGTGACTATTACAATTGTTGTATTACCACCATTGCCTGTTTCTTGTCCATGTATTGTCGTGATTGCAGGTGTGTTGTGTGCATATCATCATTATTGCCAGTGTTTTGCCCACATTTGTTTCTCATGTACAGTTGCAAGAAAAAAGTATGTGAACCCCTTGGGATTACGTGGAGTTTTGCATGAATTGGGCATAAAATGGGCTCTGAACGTCATCTAAGTCACAATAATAGAAGAACACAGTCTGCTGAACATAATACTACACAAACATTAGATGTTGCCATGGTTTAATTGCACATAACATGTAAACATTCACAGTGCAGGGAGGAAAAAGTATGTGCACCTTTGGACTTAATAACTGGTTGACCCTCCTTTGGCAGCAATAACCTCAACCAAACGTTTCCTGTAGTTGCAGATCAGACCTGCACAACGATCTGGAGTAATTTTGGACCACTCCTCTTCACAAAACTGTTTCAGTGTAGCAATATTCTTGAGATGTCTGGTGTGAATCGCTCTCTTAAGGTCATGCCACAGCATTTCAATCGAGTTGAGGTCAGGACTCTGACTGGGCCACTCCAGAAGGCGTATTCTGTGCTGTTGCAGCCATTGTTTTGTTGAATTACTTGTATGCTTTGGGTCATTGTCCTGTTGCATCACCCATCCTCTGCGGAGCTTCAGTTGGCGGACAGATGGTCGTACGTTTTCCTGCAAAATGTCTTGATAAACTCTGGAATTCATTTTCCCATCAATGACAACAATCCGTCCAGGCCCTGAGGCAGCAAAGCATCCCCAAACCATGATGCTCCCTCCGCCATGTTTTACAGTGGGGATGAGGTTTTGATGTTGGTGTGCTGTGCCTTTTTTTCTCCACACATAGTGTTGTGTGTTCTTCCCAAACAACTCAATCTTGGTTTCATCTGTCCACAGTATATGTTTTTGCCAGTAGTGCTGTGGAACATCCAGGTGCTCTTTTGCAAACTTCAAACGTGCTGCGATATTCTTTTTGGACAGCAATGGCTTCCTCTGTGGTGTCCTTCCATGTACTCCATTCTTGTTTAATGTTTTCCTTATTGTAGATGTGTCAACAAAAATGTTAGCATGTGCCAGAGATTTCTGTAGGTCTTTAGCTGACACTCTGGGATTCTTCTTTACCTCATGCAGCATTCTGCGCTGTGCTCTTGCAGTCATTTTTACAGGACGACCACGCCTAGGGAGAGTAGCAACAGTGCTAAACTTTCTCCATTTGTAGGCAGTCTGTCTTACCGTGGACACATGAACATCAAGGCTTTTGGAGATACTTTTGTAACCCTTTCCAGCTTCATGCAAGTCAACAATTCTTGATCGTAGGTCTTCTGAGAGCTCTTTTCTGCGAGGCATGGTTCACATCAGACAGTGCTTCATGAAACCAGTAAACCCAAAACAGGTGTGTGTTTTTTTAAGGGCAGGACAGCTGTCAGCAACACATCCAATATCATCACACTGATTGGAGTCAAGGTTGGCTCACTCCTGGCTCCAATTAGCTCTGGGAGAAGTCATTAAGCTAGGGCCTCACATACTTTTTCCTCCCTGCACTGTGAATGTTTACATGTTATGTGCAATTAAACCATGGCAACATCTAATGTTTGTGTAGTATTATGTTTCAGCAGACTGTGTTCTTCTATTGTTGTGACTTAGATGACGTTCAGAGCCCATTTTATGCCCAATTCATGCAAAACTCCACGTAATCCCAAGGGGTTCACATACTTTTTCTTGCAACTGTATTTCTATATTTTCCAATGCATTGCCTACATTTGTTTTTTTTTTTTCATCATGATTAGAAGTGTTGCTCACATATTGCCACCTATGCCCATGTATTACCACAGTTTACTTCTGTGGTGCCATGTGTATGAATGCATGCCCATGTTAGCATTGTTTTATTGGGCAAATGTATTAAATGGCAGGTAACATTTACAACATCATGAATATTAGTAAATCAGTATTGATTTTTTTCTGTATAGACAAGTGATATAAATAATGTGATTTTGCAAGTGGAGGCTAAAGACAATGGTACAACTCTTCTGAAATACGCTCTTTTGGTGAGTATCCAGTAATGACGCATGGATAATTCTTTCTCAGTGTATTCATTTCTTTTGTTTATTTGGAATGATGTATGTCAATTCTAACTTTAGAGCATTTGTGTTGAATGTTCATGGAACTGTCTGTGGCCACCATATGCAGTATGAGTGTGTTTTTTTCTTTGCCAAGTGAACTGGTGTTTTTTTAAGCCCAGTGTGCAGGGACCCTTAAAGGATAAGTTCACCTTTGGGAACATGTTACATGTTCCACCCATTTTTAGGGTTGAACATGTAACATGTTCCCAGTGCAGCAGCCGCTGCCTGATCCCCCAACCTCCCTGTGACAGCAGTACAGGGAGAAGTTCCCTGTACTAACTGTCACTTTTTAAAAACAGTGCGGCCGTGCGGGGCTCCATCCACACATCCTCATCATTAACGGCTGTCGGCTTTTAGTTCTCAATGAACTACCACAGTGCTGTTGAGCGCTGTGGTAATTCATTGATTTGTCCTGTAAGTATATATGCTTGCCTGTACATCCCTTACAGGCAAGAAGATATACTGACAGGTCTGCAGTCGCCCCTGATGATGTCTTGTTATGATGAAACGCGTTGGTTGGAGTCACGGCATATAACACGGCCATCTTGCTGGTTGGAAACATCCTTTGATATCTTTTATGCTGAACATATTCAGTTATTTGTAAGTGCAATGCCTTTATTAAATTCTGGCTTTTACAAATTACTACATTATGAAGCGGTTTTGCTTTTCTTTGCATATATACATCTGAGAGTATTAGATCATCTTTTTGGCTTAATACTACAGCTATACCATGGAGTAAGCTGCAGTGGAAAAGAGATTGGCAAAGATATTTGTTGAGATCCCCAGCCACCAGTATATACTATACAGTATATACTATATATACTTTTTGACCGCTTGATTTGTGGTCATTGTTTCTGCTAAGAGGCTGTGTATGTTGGTTGATGGTGGAGGATTCCTTCTTCTTCGAGCACTTTTACCTTTTCTGGCACATGTTTGTGTGATTTCCAGCTGCACCATATGGACTTATTCTAAGGACTGCACCTTATAATACTTACAATTTATGTTTTGATATCTGAATGTTATTTTATTCGGTGATATATTATCTTTTATTATTTTGAATATTTGGTAACTAGCACTGCATTTTGTTATATATTGCCTTTAGAAATTACTGAGAGTCCAGCTATGATTTCTACAGGAAAATTAATTTTAATTTGTAGATTGTTAGTAGAATATTAAACAATGCAAATTGATTTCCTTTCATCACATAGGGACAAAACAGTGAATATTTTCATATGGACCCCCTAGGAGGAAAAATTGTACTGTCTAAACCATTGGAATTCAACACAATTAACAAATACACTCTGACTGCTAAAGCTACGGTAAGGCAACTAAAATATTAATACTGTCATAGAGCCTAATGTATATTTATCGTTAGATGTCCCAGCTCCTCCTGTTACTTCCTTCTTGAGGGGTTAGCAGTCTGAGCTAATTTGGCATTGGATAGTCCTATAAGAAATTCTTCCTAAACATAATAAAATAGAGGACTGACTCTGTCAGTGTGTTGCTGCCTCTATTTTCCTATACGTAAGTTATAATGGGCCAGTGATCAAGTTCTATTGCTTATCAGTAGCACAGAATAAAAGGTCATCAGCCTACCAGTGCTATCTTGCAATAGTGTTGTAGGGTAAGGCACAGAGGTGTTGGGCCAAAATTGCATGGCGCAGCATGGCCTATTATATGGGCAGCACAGTAGCTAAGTGGCCTGCTTCCGTCATTGGTTAAAATCCCAACCACAGCACTACCCTCCTGGATTTTGCATGTTTTTCCTGTCCCTGTGTGGGTTTCCTCTCACACTCCAAAGACATGCTGCTATGTTAATTGGCTCCTGTCTAAATTGGCCATAGTATATGTGTGTGTATGGATGTGAGTTAGGGACCTTAGATTGTAAGATCCTTGAGGGCAGGGACTGATCTGAATCTGCAATATATGTGTAAGATGATGGCACTATATACAGTAATTACCTGTAAAAAATAGAAAATAAAAAAACCCACCATTTTATTCTCCAGGGTCTCTGATTTTATTAAAAAAATGTTTTTGAGTTTTAACTAGTCTTCAGGCCTAAAATGTGCAAAAACAGCTCTAGTAGCCAAAGGGTTAAAAACATCAGGTTTTGTAACAGACAGCAGGGAGCCTACAGTGGGTGTGTTTGGGAATACCCCTCCTTTATGAGGAGGCAGGGGTGGACTGACCATTTGGAAACTCGGGCACTGTCCGAGGGCCTGGGGTCAGTAGGGGGCCCCATGAGATGCCCCTGGTACCTTTTTCATAGGCTTTTTTGAGTTTGGGCAAGGACACAGGGGCCCCATGATCCCCTATTGCCCGGGGGCCCCATGAGTTGTCAGTCCGCCCCTGTGAGGAGGTTAACACAAAGGGCCTCCAGATCATCAGATTGCTGACAAAAAAGAAGTGAGATGGACTGTTGTCTTACAGTAATTTCTGGATCATGAACAGGGGCGGACTGACAACTCATGGAGCCCCCGCACAATAGGGGATCATGGGGCCCTTGTGTCTTTGCCCAAACTCAAAAAAGCCTATGAAAAAGGTATTAGGGGCATCTCATGGGGCCCCCTACTGACCCCGGGCCCTCGGGCAGTGCCCGAGTTTCCTAATGGTCAGTCCGCCCCTGATCATGAATTGAAGTCCTGAGCGGGTAGAAAGTGTTCTCTATGCATTTGAAGGTTTTATTTTCACTTTATTTGGAGTGTACCTTTAAAGTGGTGTTAAACCCAAAAGCAAACATATATTCTATTGCAGCTTACCAATTCTTAGATGTGATGACTGCATTAGTTTCCTTTTCTTCTTTCTTCTATTTTCATATGGTGGTCCAGCCAGAAAGTCTGTTGTTTTTCAAAATCACAAGCTCTCCAGCAGAATATATCAGTGTATATGGATGAGAAAAAAAATGTAACACTGAAATAGGTGATTGAAGTGATAAGCTTTTTTTATTTATTCAATTTAAACCTTTATCCCAAAAGTAAAAAAACTGTTGTAACTGATTATAAAGTGTGAGCTGGAGCCTGGTTTCCATTTGTTAGAGTATTCAAATACATTTAACACTACCCTTCCCCCAGTCTGACAGTGATGCAGTCTGCTGTGCCTCTTGTGCTTGTTTATCCAGAGTTGTGTCTCACTAATACTAGAGGTGTGTTGCTGGTCAATTCACCAGGTGAAAACAGAAAGAGGAAAAGCAAAAGTAAATAAAACTGATGCAGCCACCACATCTAATGATTGGTAAACTGCAATATATTTTGGGCTTAATACCTCTTTCATTTCAGATTTTTTTAACTGTGTTTATTGAGCTCAAACATCTGTACACCAGAAAAGTACATGAGTGGAAAACAGAAACATTGAATAAGTATAATCATCTGGATACAAATGTACACAAAAAAATAAAAAATAAAATAAAAACAGTGACAGTTTCTTGTGAGTCCTCATTACATACATGTATTCTAAATGAAAATTTTAATCTCTTATTTAAACTCAAATAGGTTTAGCGTTGCCAGAGAGAGAAGTTGGAATTGTATAAGACAGATATATGCAGGGGCGGACTGACAACTCATGGGGCCCCCGGGCAAGAGGGGATCATGGGGCCCCTGTGTCCTTGCCCAAACTCAAAAAAGTCTATGAAAAAGGTACCAGGGGCATCTCCTGGGGCCCCCTACTGATCCCGGGCCCTCAGGCTGTGCCCGAGTTTCCAAATGATCAGTTTGCCCCTGGATATATGGATATACTGTCTATTATTTGCAAGTATATGACATCACAATTAGGGCTCTTTCAAATGGGTGACAGTGTCCAACTCTGCGGTGGATCGATTTTCTAAGTGTGGTAGAGCAGCGACTTCCAAGCATTCAGGAAGCGATCGTGACTCACTCCCATTGACTCTAATGGGCGAGTTTGACAGGCAGTGCCTCCTGATAAATCCTGCAGGCCAAGTTAAAATTGCCGTGAAGCAAAACGTCACATTCGCAGCATGTGTACCCACTGCAATTTAGATGTGTGGTCGGTGAGGGGGCAGTAAAACCACCTGTTTTTATCGCCCCCCCCCCCTGGCTGCCTGTGTGAAAGGAGCCTTAGATCCTGCTTACATATGTTTCCTGTTCATCTGGTATACTTTTACAAATGTGCTGATCTATGTATTCTTTGTATGCATCTTTTATTAACCAACTTTTAAAAAAAAATGTATTAAATAGGCTATAAGAGGCTATTCTAGCACAGTTCCGGTTCATATAGACATAAAAGATGTGGACACGATGAATCCTCATTTTATTTACCCTTTGTATGAAGCCTCAATTCCTGAAAACCAGGTCAGTAAACCCTGCATGGTAAATATGCTGTAATGTATGCTATATGGAATAGGCTGTGATATACAACAACAGTATGTGATATTTACTCAAGTCATATGTTCCTGCTCACAGGTTTTATTCTTGGATCCCAAAGAGATGCTATTATTGACAATGGGTGGGAATATAGGGGTATAGTGTGACCAGGGTGATCAGGGTTATGTTGGCTGAAGGAAATAATATGAATGCAATTATTATGGTTGTTTCTACATGTTGGTTTATACTGACATAATGTTTTAACAATTTATTCCAGAAAGGAAAATTATCTACCCACCCAGAGGAAATAAAAGCTATTGATGGTGACATTGGTATTAATGAATCAGTGACTTACAATATCAGTAATGGTAAGCTTTGCCAATAGATTTCCTAAACAATGCATATAATGCATTAAAGTAAAAAAAATGTGGACTTTTAGAACCACTGGGGAAAGATGGGGTTGTGAAAAAAAAAGTTATACTCGCCTAGGTTGATGTAGCATCGGTGAACTTACTTTGACCACTGCCCTCCAGAGGATTTATCCCCCTTCCTGACCAGGCCATTTTGTTACGATACGACACTGCGTTACTTTGACAATTGCTTGGTCATGCAATGCTGTACATAACAGAAATTTATGTCATTATTTTCCCCACAAATAGGGCTTTCTTTTGGTGGTATTTGATCACTTCTGCATTTTGTATTTTTTGCACTATAAACAAAAAAAGAACGACAATTTTGAAAAAAATATATATTTTTGACTTTTTGCTATAAAAACACATCCAATAAAAAACATTTTCTTCATAAATTTTGGCCAAAATGTATTCTGCTACATGTCTTTGCTAAAAAAATCCCAATATGTGTAAATTAATTGGTTTACGTAAAAGTTATAGCATCCCTCCCTCCTAGATTGTAACTTAAGCCCCAAGGAGCAGGGCCCTCCTATCCCTCTTGTATTCAACTGTATTGTTGCTGTATTGTCCCCCGTTATACTGTACAGCGCTGAGCAAACTGTTGGCGCTATATAAATCCTGTATTATAATAATAATAATCTACAAATGGCAGTACATTTACTGGAATTTAAAAAAAAAAAAAAAAATTTATGCTAGTAATGGCAGTGATCAGCGACTTATAGCGGGACTGTGGTGGGCATTCTGACACTGGGTGGAAACTGACTAACTTCCACTGACATCCCCAGTGACACTAATACAGTGATCAGTGCTAATAAAAAGGACAATGGGCAGGAAGGGGTTAACATCTGGGGCGATCAAAGGGTTAACTGTGTGCTGTGTGTGTTTTACTGTGTGCATTGTGTTGTGTTTTACTAAGGAGACATGCTGTTTTGTATTTCTCTGCTGTGCAGAGGGATACAAAGCAGCATATCTATGCTGCCAGGAGAGAGACCTGTGTTGTTTACACACAGATCTCTCCTCTGTCAGCTTTGCCCGATGATCGCCAAGTGCTGCCAGCCGGGACCCGGATTGACATCTCTAGCCGCCGATAGCGGTGCGGGCAGGGCGGAGTGCACGTGCCGTCTACCTGGAAATGCAAATTACGTATATATATATATATATATATATATATATATATATATATAGGACGTGATTTTGCACAGCCCCATAACCCTGTAGCAGTATTTCTGCTGTAGGTCGGAGGGCAAGAGGTTAAAGCTAAAGTTTAGATATGAATTGTATTGCAAAGTTACACATGATGGATTGAATCTTGGATGTATGTATGTATGTCCCATACCTAACCAATCCCCGTGGAAACTTCAAATCACTGTAGTACAAGAGTTATAGCAGCAGCTAGACCAATACAAGTTTGCAATAAAAAATCATAGCTAAACTTCAGCTTTAATAAGTAACATCACTTCTTTTGAGAAAACAAAAAACAATCCCTTCTAGGTGATCAATGTACATGGCAAGGATTTTAACATACTTTGTTGTAGATCCCTTCCTATTTCTGCTCTGAAGGAATAGGTCTTGGTTTGACCATGCCCTGTGCAGAGTGACTCTGAGGGTGTGGTTCATTATAACCAGCTGATGCACTTTTAGTGTTGTGATTAGAAAAAATGTAATTTTACAAGTAATTAACCCTTGGGAAGTATCTCACCAAAAATGCAATTTTGGTTACAGATGATATCCAAAATCTAACTTGTGTTTTAGTGCAGACTTGAAAATGACATTTTTGGAGGCTTTTTGTATACCAGTTGTGTAGAGAATGCCTCCATGTTTCCATATTGTATTGAACCTTACAGAACATTACAGTATTGCAGATTAAAAGGTAATTTATAGTAACGTTAAATTAAAATATGGCTTGTGTAGCAGTTGTATATGCCAGTGTTTCTCAACCTTTTTTAAGTGAAGACACCCTTTAAAAGTATGGACAATGTAAAGACACCCTCTAAAATTATGGACAGTCCCGAGGCACCCTTTAAAATTTTGCTCAGTCGTGAGGCACCCCATTCTAAAATGTGAAAAACTGTTCTAATAGTTTTATATAACGCAGCAACACCCACACATGTAGGACACCCAACATTAGAGGTGATTTATTTTTCCAAAGCACATACACTTTTGTAAGCTGGTACTGACTAGTATTCCATTGTTTCTCTTCTCCCTCAGTTTTTCTCCATCACTGAGCTAATGTGACCCCAGAACTGATGGAGAGGGGCAGGGGAGGGTCAAGCAAGGATGCTGTGCAGGCAACCGACATTCTCCTTATTAACTGATGATGTCATTGGTTGTCAGGATGCGAGCGGCTAGAAGGTTGTGATGGCTCACAATAAAAACTTGTGGCTTTATTTAACTAAAAGGCAGGTTTGTTCCACCTTCTGGCTTGTATACAAGTTTTGGGCAGTTTTTAGACATTTTGCCAAGGCACCCCTGAAGAAACCTCAAGGCACCCCAGGGTGCCTGGGCACCCTGGTTGAAAAAGGCTGGTATATGCTATATATTGTAAATTCTGAAATATTAACTATGTGCTAACTGAAGATACACTGTCTATATTCTGAAAGATAAAAAAAATTATAATGTATTTTTGAAATTTGAATCTGCTTCTTCTGTATATATACGATGCATGTTGGTTATGATCAGACATACCTGTGATTTTTTATTGTGTATTTTTCCATTGCAGTTCACCCTGCTGAGTACAGCAATGCATTTTTCATTAACACTTCCAATGGAGCTATATCACTTTTCAGGGAATTGGACAGAGAGTCTGTATCGCTCATCACAGTGTACATTAAGGTATTTTGTTTTCTTGATACTTAGAATAAGTCATAAAAATACTACTGTTTTCTCGTAAGTTGTATATAATATAGGAATAAGTGAAAATATAACCCTCTTAAATAGTATAAACCAATATCTCTTTCTGTTATCTTTGTGTAAACTTTGATGTACACATTGGGGGCAATTTTCTAAGCCATTTGCAACACATTTCTCAAAATACCAACCAATCCATTATCTTTGCTCTTCCCAAGACTTCCTGCTTTCTAGCTCTGTTGTCATCTCCTCCCATGTTCCCCTTTAGGACTCCCCCAGAGTCTCTCCCATCTTCTGGAACTCCTTACCGCCTAATCTGTCTATCTTCTACTCTATCCTTTAGGTGACCCATCTCTTCAGTGAGGCCTATCTTACCTATAACAATTAAACTCAACTTTTACTTTCTCCATCAGCTCATCCCTCACAGTTATTACCTTTTGTATCACTTGATTCTCCCTTTTAGAATGTAAGCTCTAGCGAGCAAGGCCCTCTGATTACTCTTGTATTCAATGGTGTTGTAACTGTACGGCCTAGCTCCATGTTGTAAAGCTCTGTGCAAACTGTTGCTGCTGTAAAAATCCTGTATAGTAATATTAACGTGGTTGTAAAGGCTGAAGGTTTTTTACCTTCATGCATTCTATGCAACATAAAAAACCTTCTGTGTGCTGCTCCCCCCCCCCCCACAGTCCCTCCCTTATACTCACCTGAGCCCCCTCTCGATCCAGCAATGTATTAGGGAGTCTCGGCTGTCCCAGGTCTCTCTATCCTCATTGGCTGAGGCACAGCATCAGGAGCCATTGGCTCCTACTGCTGTCAATCACAGCCAGTGAGCCAATGAGTAGAGAGCGGGGGTGGGGCCGAGCCGCAGTTCTATGTGTCTTATGGACTCATAGAGCGGGGATCAGGAGCGAGCATGCACCAATGCCCACATAGCAAGCGATGTGCTGTTGGGGCACTTGTCAAGGGGGAGGAGCTAGGAGCCTGGCTGGTGCCCAAAAAAGATGAGGATCGGGGCTGCTCTTTGCAAAACCACTGCACAGAGCATGTAACTATAACATGCTTGCTATTTGAAAAAAAAACAAAAAAACCTTAAGGATCACTTTAACTGCTTGCCCAGCACACTATAGCAGAAATACTGCTACAGGGCTGCGCAAAATCACGTATATATACATGATTTTACATTTCCGGGTAGGAGG